CTTGAGAAAGGTTCAGCCCAGACTTTGCAGCTTGCGCATACGTTTGCCCAGATCGAGTGACTTTTGCTACTTGAGGCTCTTCAGGCTCAAATACAATCTCTTCTTCTGGCGGCTCTTGTAGGTCCTCAAGATCAGTAACGAGGCTCCCAATATCATTGGTTTCCATCACAATGCACAATAAAAGCATTGTCAGCATCAGTATCCAGAGTAATGCGGTATCCCGCAGCAATCATCTCGCGCATAGCAAGTACATTGGCAATTCCATCTTCATCCTGATAAACTGGAGGTGGAAATCTTCCTAGAAAACCTTCTTCGTCGAGAACTCTGCTGCCTATGTTAGTGTGCATGTCAAGTTCTTTCTCAGCATGACGGAGTCCATGCAAAAGCTCACCATTACAAATGGTGGTGTTTGTACAACCAGTGTCCATGATGACATGATCGTACAACCCACATGGATCTCTTTTCTTTCCACGGCTTTGAAAAAACTGCAGACCTCGATCTGCTTCAGTAGCAAGATCAGGCAAATCTTCATCTGCACTAGCATAATGCCAGTCAGCTTGAAGTTTGACATTTGTCGTACCAGCAGGACATGGAATGAGATAGACATCATTGCCATACTCATCCTTTCCCTTGATAGCAACGTGAAAGACATTTGACGTATCAAAATATCCAGTTTTCACAGCTTGCGGAGTTCGAGCTTGAGTTGCATCGAATCCTTGGCGCACTTGAGCACCACTGAAGCCTTGTCGGCTGAGTTGCATTCCACCGAACGCAATCTCACCGTTAGCATTCATAGAATAAGGGACAGTAACAGTGGCGCCACCTTGAGTTGGAATCTGCATGAGCTGCATTCCAGAAGGAACTTGCATCATTTGATTACCTGTAGCACCAGCAAGTCGCAAAGGTGTGTTAACGCTTCCCGCAACACTTGATGCTCCACTTGTGAATGCTGAAGCTCCAGGGACTATGGCTGGAACAGTAGCTGGGACAGTTGCTCCAATCTGATTAAGATTGAGCTTCTTCACATAGTCCTGATTCTCCCATTGGGTCTTTGAAAGCAGTCTGTCTGGGCATTTTGGAGACATATGGTCTTCGTTGCCACATACATAACATGCTGCCTTCTTTCCATCCTTCAATTTCCCCTTTCCTTTTCCTTTACCTTTACCTTTATTAGGTTGGTCTTTTCCTTGGTAGAGGTTCACTCCCGGATTTAATCACATCCATGTGTATCTTCAACATATCTTGTGCTTTGTTGACCGTCTTTGGATAATAATCCACTTCTCTGCAATAGTTCCTCTGAAGATCCAGCATCAGAGGAGCTGTTCTTGTTCAATCGCTGTTGCACAGAAATCCTGTTGCAAGAACGGCTTCAAAGATATCATCCTTGCACTTGTTTCGAGCAGCAGTATTGGTGCTAGCAATAGCAGCATACGCTTTTGTCTTGACTGCAAAATCTCGGAACCATGCCATGCCATATAGATCTTGCAGGACTTCAGCCTGTCTCAAGAATCGTTCCTTGAAATGCATCAAGTTTTCCTTTGTTCCTTGCTTCATAGCAAAGAACTTTTTGATTCGCTTCCCAGAAATCCAAGAAATCATACTCAGCATCAGCACTCTTCTTCATGAATCGTTCAATACGTTTCAAGAGTTCGATTGGATCTTCAAGACTAGTCGTGAAATCGGCTTCGCCTCAAAGCTTGATATCCATTGCCTTCGTCACAAACTTCAGCATGATGTAGGCTGATCTTTGCATGTTCTCGTCGAGCTTTGCAGAATAGAGAATCTTGTTTTGGGCCATCTCTGTTTCTCTTGCAACAGCTTCAGTTTGAGTTGGAGTGTTCAATCTTGGAGCGATCGCATTGAAGTTGATCGACTTTCCATCTCAAATTGATTTCACCATGTCTTCGGAACATTTCATTCCAGAAGCTTGGATGTAGTCAATCACTCTTTCTTCCGCATCTTTGTACAATGATCTTGTCTTTCCATTGTTTTCATCTTTCGTTAAAAATAGATGTTTCACAACTGTTGAACTTTGATTGCTCTTGACTTTCTGAGGAGTCACATGTCCTCTTCCACCACCGGATGAAGAACATCCCATTGTCAACGAATCACTCACTCCTTTGTAGATAAGGCAGTGCTGTTCTTGACATAAATTTGTTTTGTTGCCTTTTGTGATTGAATGTTAGAATAAAGCAAAATAGTGAGGGCCTTTAGCGCTCAGAACAAACTCTCTGCAATCTAAATTTGTAATCAACTGTACAACACTTTCACAACAATAGTTCTCTTGTGTCTAGGTATACTTTGAGTGAAATTGTTCCTATTTGATTAATATTTGGCTTGAATTGATGTTTCAATCACAAAAGTAAGTTCAACAATTTTCCCTTGGAAAATCACTGCTTTACAGAATTTGATTTGACCTCTACGACAATTCTGTGTTGAATGCAGTACTTTGGGACATCTTGTATTATTCCCTACTGCATCGTTCACAACATCGATATCTCACTTGTATAGGGTCATTCCCTTTTTGTGTGGTTGTAGATTGTCCGACAGACTTGCGTCTGGCACACTTGCGTCAAATCCCGACATCATGATCAAAGTCCGATCGTACGTGTTGAAAACTTTGTACTTGAATAGTTTCTTTTTGGAACGTAAAAACTCATATTTCGTCATATCCCAACACTGATATGCTGCAAGTTCAATTTGCTTATCCGTTCACCTTCTCAGAACTCTCTCTACGTCAGCCTGACATGCTGCAAGTTCAATCTGTTTATCCGTTCATCTTCCACTGCAGTCGGTACTTTGATTATTATCCAACTTTGGTTCTTGTTTGAATCTTGCTTTCTTACATCATCAACATGATGATTTCCATAGAAATAAATTGTCTTTTCTGACTTGCCACACGCGATATTTTTAGTCATATCAGTCTTCGTTTCTCCAAATATGTACTTAAAAAATCTTAATATATCCAACACACTCCTGCCGTTTCATTAACAATGACAACGGAACATCAGTGTTGTTCCTAATCTTGTTTTCCTTGGATCAATGATCTGAAATCCAAGAACTTTTGTCCCTGTAGAGGTTTACTCATGAAATCTCCCCACATCTTTTCAGTCGGACAATATTCAATAGTCACATTTCCTTTCTTGACTTGATCAGTCATAAAGAAATATCAAATGTTCAAAGCTCGGCTTTGCTTTCCGGCACTATCATGTCCATTCTCTTCCGATAGAATAGAACTCTTGTTATCCAGATATGGGATGTTCTCTTCACCAGGATAACCTTGTGCTTCCACAAACAATTTTGTCCACAATATCTGTGTCGCAGCATCATCAACACCAATCAATTTGGCTTCTGTTGAACTTTGACTGTTCAGCTTCTGCTTCTTCGAGATTATTTGTAATCCTCCTTCACCCATAGTCAATACACCTCCAGTGTGACTTCTGAAATCTGGATGCACTGGAAATGATGCATCAATATACCATTTGAAAGTTCGCAAGTCTTTTGCACTCAGCGTCAGATGCATTCCCTTTGTTCCATTCAGATAATACATCAGCTTCACTAGCTTCTTCCAATCAGTTTCATTTGGTTTCTGTACTCTTGTAGAAAGTACTGAAATAGTTGGAGCAATATCCAATCTTGCTCTCTTACTCAGAAATAATCCTTCGGCAATGAATGTATGAAAAGTTTCACGTTTTTCATCATCCAATTTTTCTCCTTAATAAATCATTCCTTGCCGGTGTCTTGCACCCTTCATTTTCCTTGAACTTCACAGGAAATTCATTCAACATTCGATTAACATAGTCATCCATTCGGACTTTGACTTTTCCCCTTTTACTGAAATCTAGGGTCATTGAACCATACTTTTGATTCATCCATTCACAAAAATCATCATACACTTTTGGATTGATGTGACTTGATAATAGATCGTCCACATGAGATTGAATAGTTTGTTGCTTGCCATTCACAATCTTGTTGGCAATACATCCATTGTATGGATTGAAAATAAAACCATGTTTCTCCATGTCTCCTCTCAATTTTTTGTACCAGAGCATAGAGGCCTCTAACATCCCATAGATGGCTTGCAATACTCTCACGTAAATCACTTGTTTTCCGTTCTCAATTACAACGTAATCACAATACCTTGGCTCCAGTTGTATCATCATGTCGACCAATAATCCAGTGATCTTCATCATCACTCTGGATCTCGCATCCATTGGCATTTGAGTTTGAATAAATGCATTTGAAATATCCAAAGACATCATATCTTGTCCTTCATACGCATCAATTATACATGTGATCATAATCGCTTCCAATGCTGCAGTCGGACTTGAACTATCCTCTCGAGATAGCCATTCTCGAGTTCCATCTCCTTTGTATACACATCTTCCTTTTATTTCACTAGTGTTTTTCTCAGCTAAAAACATCATAGCATCTTGGGCTCTTCTTTTTTCCAAATCAGTCATGTCTTCAACATGAATTGGTTTCCAACATTCTCTTTGTATCAATTGGTCAAGTTCTTTCATCACAGCCTTATTACCTCCTTCTTTGAATAATTTCAGTCCCTTATTCAGGTAGTATTGTTGGATAAACAATACTCCTTCATTTTGAACTTTATCCTTGATTTGTTGCATGAATCGCATAGTCAGAGTTGCCTTATCTTTTCCATATTTGGCTTTCTTGTCACTTCCAACCTGTTGGAATGGTAGATTGTATTTTTACTCTTTTTTCAGAATCCTTTTCCTTGAATTTTCCTTCATATAAAATATTTCATTCAAATAACCTTTCAATTTCTTGACTTTTTCCTTTTTTCTCATTGCACTCCTGTTCTTTAACAAATTGCACTTTGGTTCTTTCGATTTAGGTATTGTTGATTATACCTTGATCGATCTTGATTATTACGTTTGGTTGGTCTCATTTTCATTCCATCTTGAACATAAGATTTACCACTCCTGGTTTTCCTTGGACTGAATATGTCCTCTTTATTCACTTTATCATTTTCATAATTATCATCGTCACTTGATTTGTCCGAATTATCGTCAGATTCATCATTTTCATTCTCATTATCATCCAGATTTGCCACAAATTCGCGAACATCATTGACTTGATTTTCACATTCTTTGACTTCATCTTGAATTCGATCGATTAAATTGTCATTTTCCTCATATGTTTCGCGTGTTTCCTCGATTTGTTCTTTATCGTTAAGTGATTTGACATCTTCTTTGTCTTTTTGAATGTCTTCTTCAATTTCTTGAATCTTTTCATTTAAATCCTCATCATTCTGATATTTGTCATTTGGATTGGGATCTTGATCGGATTTTTCATCATCATCTCTCCGTCTCAGTTGTTCATAAATACTTGCAACACTCCTGTCTTCTGGCTGTTGTTCAACATTTTTGGTGTGCTCATCATCATAGTTTTCAATAAATTCTTCCGCTTCTTCAAGTAAAGCATCAATTTCATCTTGATCAATCTTTTCATTACAAAGATTCTCATTGCTTTGTTTGTATTCATTTTCGCGTGGAATATCATCCACAGTTCATCTTGGTCCACTCCTGCAAGCAAATCACCATCCAATATGATTTCACCATTTTTCCAATGATAAGTATGTAAATTTCAAATGCCCTTGTCGTGTGCCATTTGTTCCACAATTTTGATCACTTGTTTGGTGATCAGAAGTACCGTTACATAGGGTCTCGTTACTGCCTTTTTTGTATTAAGATCAAGTAACATATGTCCCGCTTGTATGCTGTCATTTACTCCAAGATAAATACCATCAATGGTTCTTGACTGTTGTTGGCCATGTGACCATATCCTTGTACAAAGGATCCAATTTCAGCAACACATTCTTTTGAAAAAGCCACCGGTTTTGTCTCACAATCATATGTGGACTGTAATATTTTGAAATTCCCTCCTTTGCAGGATAAAAGTTAATAACCTTTGTCACATGCTTGAGTAAAGCAATAGTCAAAACCTTAGGAATTGCCTTGAACATCATTTGATGATGGTGTGGTCAGAATAATCCTTTCAATGTTTGATTGCTGCGCTCAATAGTTGGTTCGGGTTTGCCGGGCGCGGCATAATTCATGGTTACATCCATGTTATCTTGCACGTCATCAAATACCGGTTTGAATTGGTTGTCGCAATAAATAGTTTTGATTCAAAATTCCGCATGATTATATATGCGTAAATTTTGTCAATCAACTTGTAAATAGCATCTTTTGTCCGATCTTTCAGTTCAGTACTGAATCAGAATTTGATCGCTTTGTCAATACTGACAAAAAATGCGACATTGTTGATAAACATAATGTCAATGCATAAATCCAGGTTTGAATTGTGTTTCAGGAGTTCCTTGGGCATTTTGATCCAATCATCAACCACTGCCTTTGGTGTTGGTTGCTTTTGTTTGCCCTTAATTGTTGAAACGCTAGGTCCATATATCTGTTTAGAGATATTAACATCTTCCTCCGCAATTGGACAATTTTTGAAAAATTTCCCCGAATTGCCATCTTGAATAGTTCTGCACCAGGTGCTCCCATCATATGATAGCCACTTTGTGCAATATTTGCTTGTTTCACTTGTTGGTTTGTGAAACCCTCTTTGTTCTTCTTCCTACTCTGTAGAGCACAGTACCCTTGCACATCATTATTATCAAGTCCACGTGCATGGTCATGAAACATTGCTGTTACCATAGCAGGTTTTTCAACCAAAGTATATAATCCATTGTGATGTCCAAATCGCCATGTAGTCGCGTTTCTAGTCACAAAGAAGCTGTTCTCTCTCTTTGTTTCCACAAATACATCAAATCCATCTTGTACCATGTTTGACAAACTGTTGATGTTGTCGCTAGCTTGTGTGTCAAGCATACAAACAGAGTCAAATACCTTATCTATTCCTTCTCCATAAAGTTCTCTTCCCTTGACATTAGAGGCATAATAGAATCCTCCATGAATTCCTTGCAGACTTCCTTCTTTAAAGTCATCTTCATTGGTTTGCAAATGAAAAGTAGATCCACTGTCCAAGTGGATACCAGTATTGTTGTGTTGGAATAACATCATCCCTTGTTGTCTTGGATGATTGTCAGCATGTCCTTGTTGAATAAATTGTCCTCCATGAAATCCATTGTTGGAACGTCCATAGTTCCATTGAGTGTTTGAATCTCCCGATTCATTATCATCACGCATTGCATTATCATCACGTTGCATATTCTGTCAATTACGACAACCGTTCTCATTGAAATAATCCCTATATTTGTCCGGGGTTTTCCACTTATCCCGTGGCTTCAATTTGTCCGCACATTGAGGTGCAACATGATCTTTCGATCTGCACACAAAACACGCTTGAGTTTGTTGTTGCAAAAACTGAGCTCCGTCATTTTGATTGTCGTTTGACTTGTTTTGTTTTCCTTGTCCATTCGAATTTCCTCCATTCGAATTCTTCTTCCTGTTATTGTGTTTATGTTGATTCAAAACACCAGCAGCATTTTCCAAAGTAGTTGGAAATGTGCAACGCTGTTTGAAATCCAGATGCTTCAACGTGTACTGCGCTGTCATTCCATCAATTCTTGATTGATACTTGGCTCTATTGGAATTATACAGAAATTGGTTGGCCATGAATCTTTCCCATGATTCCTCCTTCTTATGTTGCGACCATTCAGCATCGCTTCCCAATAAACCATATTCCTGACTCTTCTCAGTAAATGTGTCCAAAAAATCATCATGGAGCAAAGCTTGCAATGCCATTGCCCTTTCTTCAAATCGTTTACAAAAACTCGCAATGTTTTCCTTCTCCTTTTGGTGGCAATTAATCAGATTGCTCATGGTCTTCCACATTCCAAAATATTCCCATTCTGTATCAACAGTAATCGTCAAAAATTTCTTGAACCGCATCAATAACTCCACAGGATCATTGAACAGGTTGTTTTCAAAGTCAGCTTCTCTCTCAAGCTTGTCCACCATGTGATCCGTGCACATCTTCATAATCATTCTGTAGAAATTGCGTTTATTGTTATCAAACGCGTTCTTCCTGGCCTTCCAATCCTTTTGATCAGCCAAATAGTTAGTTCTTCTTTCTTCATTCTTGATATCCTTATCAGGATTACCGTCATTAGTTACCAATACCAATGTTGGTTTCCCGCTTTCAATATCAAACAGACTCAAGGTTTGTACACTCTGAATCATGTCATCAATATGATCCATCTTCATTGTTGACATTATAATCACCAATGTCTTCTTCACTTCATCAAAGCTAAATTCGGTAATGTTTCCTCTAGTCAGAGGGTGAAACTTCATTTCTTTCTAGCTACCATTGCCACTCTTATTTCCATTGTATTGACCATTGCCTTGGCCTTGCTGCGATCTTCCTCGTCCAGCATTTCTTCCATTGGAACCCCGTCCAGTATTCTGAAATTGTCCACTCATCATGAGCAAGTTCCTATTCTTTTAAGTCGTAGGAATATATCGGCTCCCAATTCAATTCAATGACTTTTTATAATATATGTTAGAAGTAAGGGATCCACTGCCGCCTGCAATCTACCTGTTCAATTGACTGCAATTTAGCTGTCCAGGTATTGTTGCCTTCTAAGTATATGAATTTACAGTATATATAGAAGTATATAGATCTATCAGAGATCCTACTTTATCAACCAATTCACTCGTTGCTTGCAATATATTATAAAAAGTGAGAACAGTCTGTCAACTTTTGACTTTGACACTTTCTTCTCCAGCTCAGTGCAAATTCCCAGAATTCTCTCTACGTCAGCCTGATATGCTGCAAGATCGATTTGCTTATCCGTTCACCTTCCACTGTAGTTGGTACTTTGATTCGTATCCAGCTTTGGTTCTTGCTTTAGTCTTGCTTTCTTACATCATCAACAGGATGATTTCCATAGAAATAAATTATCTTTTCTGACTTGCCATGCGTGATATTTTTAATGGCATCAGTCATCATTTTTAGTCGTATCAGTCGACATCATTTCTCTATCGTTCACATGTATTCTCTTTTTCTCGTTTCTCCAAATATGTACTTTGAAAATCCTAATATATCCAACACTCACTGTTGGGATATGACGAAATATGACTTTTTACGTTCCAAAAAGAAACTATTCAAGTACAAAGTTTTTGACACATGCGATCGGACTTTGATCGTGATGTTGGGATTCGACGCAAGTATGCCGGATGCAAGTCTGTCGGACAATCTACATCCACACAAAAAGGGAATGACCCTATACAAGTGAGATATCGATGTTGTGTACAATGCAGTAGGGAATAATACAAGATGTCCCAAAGTACTGTATCCAACACAGAATTGTCGTAGAGGTCGAATCAAGTTCTGTAAACAAGGGATTTTCCAAGGGAAAATCGTTGAACTTACTTTTGTGATTGAAACATCAATTCAAGCCAAATATTAATCAAATAGGAATACATGAGCAATAACGCACAGTGGTATCAATGCAGGTGAGAAACTTAGCATTCTTGATCTCCATGTGATCAATACAGACGGTAATAGATCAATTGTGCTGATATAATTCCTCTGGTGGACTGAAGAAGTCGCCGTACATCTTCTTTGGAGTTGGTCTTGTTGACTTGCCTTTCAATGTAGAGGCGTCAGGTCCAAAGATTACTTTGGCATGATTAATCGCTTCTTCGGTGATAGGACAGTTCTTGATGAGACCAGATCGGATCGCATACTTCAGACTTTTGGTGCTTGGAGCATTGAGTATGTGCATTGCACTTCTTGCTTCCATCGCAGCCTTGACTTGTCTTGGAGTGAATCCTTCCTTGTTCTTTTGAACGGTTGCCATCTTGGAGGTCATCTCGAGTCCAGCATATCCATTCTGTTTGTTTGAAGAAAGTTAAAAATGGGGTTGATTATTTAAGTTGCTTAACTGGCAACGGTACATTGTCTCTTGGGCACCTGGTTCGACATTTGCTCCAAGTTGCTCCAACACATACACACCCTTACGATTCACAAATTGCATCTTTCTGTTTCCATCACAATGCACAATAAGAGCATTGTCAGTATCCATAGTAATATATCACAGTCTTTATTAACAAGTAGCTACATCACTAGTATGCTCTCTCTGACAAGGAGCCAGAGTGGAACAATCACACATTAAGTGAAAGCCAGACCAAGATTCAAAGCCCAAGCACTTTCAATTTGCAGTCCAAGTCACCAAGTCTATTCACACAAATATCTAACAGTTGGGGTGGCCAGTTTAAATATAGCACCTTTCAGAACAATGCATTTGCTATTCCAGGATATGTAGAGAACGCGGCCTTTGTCACAATGCCCGCCCCTATCCATTTGAAAATAATAGCTTGCCTCAATCATAATGGTTGTGGTGTGCTGCATCTGTCCATCATTTTCATCCTCCTTGCATCACAATATTTGAATTGAATAAACAAAAACGCAACGTTACAACAGGATGACTTTCACTTGATGTTGGGAGGGCAAGAACAGTACATAGGCCTCCAGAACTCAATTCGACTTCTACAAGGACTCTGTGTTGAATACAGTACTTTGTGACATCTTGTAATATTCTCTGCTGCATTGTACACAAAATTGATATTCCACTTGTATAGGGTCATTCCTTTGTCCAACAGACTTGCGTCAAATTGCTGACATCATGATTAACCCAATTGTGAATGTCAAACTTGCATCAAAAGGCTGACATCACGATTAAAACCTGTTTGTGCATGTCAAAACTTTGTACTTAAATATTTTTTCTTGGAACGTAAAAACTCGTACTTCGTCATATCCCAACACTCCTGCCATTCTTGTGACAATCACCATTGGCAGCAATGGGACATGCTCTCATTCACTGTTTATTTTGTTTTGTATTTTCATTTGAACATATATACTTGTCTGACCTAGTCCTGTGGACCAAGAATCAGATCTCTGAACTTGCAAAACTTCTCACCTTGCAGTTAGGGTTGGGGTTAGGGTTTTCCTTTCACCAAGAAATCCAAAGTCATTCCAAGATATCTGTGTATCTTTCCTCTGACAATTGTGCATGCCTTGATTGAACCATATCTCATGTTCAACCATTCAGCAAATTTGTCATTCACTTTCGGTTCCATGTGACTTGACATATGATCGTTAACATGAAACCTGATAGTTTGCTGTTTTTTCATCAACAACTTTGTGAGCAACACACAAGGTCATACGGATTGAAAACAAATCCCTTTGCCTCCAAATCACTTTGAAACTGACTATAGAATAGGTGGTTCGATTGCAATTGCTGCCAATGGTGATTGTCACAATGGCAGGTGTGTGTTGGGATATGACAAAATATGAGTTTTTGCGTTCCAAAAAGAAACTATTCAAGTATGAAGTTTTTGACATGTACGATTGAACTTTGATCGTGATGTCAGGATTTGACGCAAGTATGCCGGACGCAAGTCTGTCGGACAATCTACATCCACACAAAAAGGGAATGACCCTATACAAGTGGAATATTGATTTTGTGTATGATGCAGTAGGGAATAATACAAGATGTCCCAAAGTACTGCATTCAACACAGAATCCTTGTAGAAGTCGAATCGAGTTCTGTAAACAAGGGATTTTCCAAGGGAAAATCGTTGAACTGACTTTTGTGATTGAATCATCAATCAAGCCAAATATTAATCAAATAGGAACAATTTCACTCAAAGCATACCTAGACACAGGAGAACTATTGTTGTGAAAGTGTTGTACAGTCGATTACAAATTTAGATTGCAGAGAGTTTGTTCTGAGCGCTAAAGGCACTCACGATAGATCACATTTTGCTTTATTCTGACATTCAATCACAAAAGGCAACAAAACAAACACTGTTACTGTCCCTTATTCTATGAATGCTAATGGTGAGATTGCGTTCAGTGGAATGCAACTCAGCCGACAAGGCTTCAGTGGTGCTCAAGTGCGCCAAGGATTCGATGCAACTCAAGCTCAAACTCCGCAAGTTGTGAAAACTGGATATTTTGATACGTCAAATGTCTTTCATGATGCTATCAAGGGAAAGGATGAGTATGGCAATGATGTCTATCTTATTCCATGTCCTGCTGGTACGACAAATGTCAAACTTCAAGCCAACTGGCACTATGCTAGTGAAGATGAAGATATGCCTGATCTTGCTACTGAAGCAGATCGAGGTCTGCAGTTTATACAAAGCCGCAGAAAGGAAAGAGATCCATTTGGGTTGTACGATCTTGTCATCATGGACCGTGGTTGTACAAACACCACCATTTGTAATGGGGAGCTTATGCATGGACTCCGTCATGCTGAGAAAGAACTTGACATGCACACGAACGTGGGCAGCAGAGTTCTCGACAAAGAAGGTTTTCTAGGAAGATTTCCACCTCCAGTTTATCAGGATGAAGATAGAATTGCCAATGTACTTGCTATGCGCAAGATGATTGCTGCGGGATACCGCATTACTATGGGTACTGATGCTGACAATGCTCTTATTGTGCATTGTGATGGAAACAGAAAGATGCAATTTGTGAATCGTAAGGGTGTGTATGTGTTGGAGCAACTTGGAGCAAATGTCAAACCAGGTGCCCAAGAGACAAGTGCCATGTACCGTCGCCAGTTAAGCAACTTAAATAATCAACCCCATTTTTAACTTTCTTCAAACAAACAGAATGGATATCCTGGACTCGAGATGACCTCCAAAATGGCAACCGTTCGAAAGAACAAGGAAGGATTCACTCCAAGACAAGTCAAGGCTGCGATGGAAGCGAGAAGTGCCATGCACATACTCAATGCTCCAAGCACCAAAAGTCTGAAGTATGCGATCCGATCTGGTCTCATCAAGAACTGTCCTATCACCAAAGAAGCGATCAATCATGCCAAAGTAATCTTTGGACCTGACGCCTCTACATTGAAAGGCAAGTCAACAAGACCAACTCCAAAGAAGAGGTAGGACGACTTCTTCAGTCCACCAGAGGAATTATATCAGCACAATTGATCTATTACCGTCTGTATTGATCACATGGAGATCGAGAATGCTAAGTTTCTCACCTGCATTGATACCGCTGTGTGTTATCGCTCATGTATTCCCGTGCAGAACCTGAAGACTGACCCTGTATTTGAAGCATTGGATACAATATTCTGCCGCTACAACAAGACAGGCTTTCAAGTCAAGATCAGCAAGTGTGATCGGGCGTTCATTCCTCTCACAGATGATATGCTAGACGATATGGGTGTTACTATTGACCCGACTGCAGCTGGAGACCACGAGCCTACCGCTGAGCGAAACAATTGGACCTCGAGCCGCCAAGCTATTGAATGTCTTTCCCCAGAAAGACAGGATATCATCACATTTCAGTCCGCAGCAACTCATTGATCATGTCAATATCAACTACAAGAGTGACATGGTTGCTGAACTTGGACAATATTTTCATGCAATTGGGACGGATTCCAACAATTCGATGGAACCCCAAAGTATCAAAGCAATTTACATTAAACCTACGAAGGGACAATGTCCTGGGCACCAAGTGCTCAACCTCAATACTAAGAAGATGATTTCCCGACCCAAGGTCGTTGTACTACCCGTTACCGATCAAGTAATCCAGCCTGTTGAAGCTTGGGCTGCTGCCAAAGGTGTTACTTCCATGAAGTTCTTTGATAAGAAGAGAGATTTGGAGACATTTCAGGATGGCGATCAAATCACAGGAGTGGATGACACGGAACAAGGTTACTTAGAAGAAGCCTTTGATCAGGATTATGAACCTGAAGATGAAGATGAACGTGATTTCAATCTACGTGGACAATTTGATGATATCGATGACTCCAAAAGAGAAGAGCTCTTGGCAGATGCAGACAATGATGTCGATGATATGCCAGAACTCACTGTCAGATTCCAAGGAGATGATGACTATGAATCAGACGACGATTCGGGTGATGAAGGCGATGAAGAGGAAGAACCTATTGTGGCCGATTTGGAACACCATCAAGAAATTGTCAATAGAGGAACCGATGATATTGGGAGCCTTGTTACTGATCTGGAGGACATACAAGAGCCGCCGGAAGAAGAGATTGGATTTGAGCCTGAAGAGCCTCAAGTAGCAAAAGTCACTCGATCCGGGCAAACGTAAAGCTATCCTTGAAGCACAGCACAATCTATGTTTCCAACAGATTGGGAATGAGATGAAAGCTGATTATGAAGAGCACGACGCTATTCTGATCGCTCGTTGCATGATGCAGATCAAGGCAAAGTTTGATACTGATGAAGGTCTGAACTTCACTAACAGTATTACATCAACCAAGGACTGAAGAAGTTTGGTGATGATGGAAAGGATGCTGTGGATAAGGAATTGAGACAAATGCTCCTGAGAGATTGTTTCACTCCCAAATTTGTTAAAGACATGACCGGAAGAAAGCCCAATCAGCGATGATGTTACTCACAGAGAAGCAATTCAAAAAGACAATTGAAGGTTAAAGGCATGACCGCATCTGAGTGAAAGAAGGCCCAATCAGCGATGATGTTACTCGCGGAGAAGCAATTCGAAAAGATAATTAAAGGTCGCCTAGTATTCCAAGGCAATGGAACTCGTGAATGGTTATTGCGAGAGGACACTGCAAGTCCAACTGCTTCACAAGAAGCAATCACCACTACTGGTGTTATTGATGCACAGGAAGGTAGAGATGTAATGACGCTGGACATACCTAACGCTTTCATTCAAATTTATATGCCTGATGCTAAGGAAGGAGAAGATTGCGTCTACATGAAAATCACTGGCATGATGGTCCAGATATTGATTGACATGGCCCCAGAGTATCGCGAATACGTTGTATTAGAGAACGGAAAGCGAGTAATCTATGTGCCGTGTTGCAATTGAGCCTCCTTTCTATAATCAGTTTCAAAGTGATTTGGAGACAAAGGGATTTGTTTTCAATCCGTATGACCCGTGTGTTGCTAAGGCCGAAACTATAGTGACATCGGAAAAAACACTAGTTTTCTGGCGCGCAGGCATGGCCTCGAGTCATTTTTCACTTCCCGTGAACTGAAACCGTAGTGATGACGAGAAAACTGAAACTGAAAACTCTGTGGGATTCCTTTTATTTTCATTTCCGCTGCTATCATGTTGTATCATGGATACCTACTGCAGCATCAGCTTCACTGACAGCATTTACCAACAGTATCCACGGGTATCCTGCAACAAGAGTCGTCCATTCATCTTTGCACCTGCAACAAATCGAAAGATCCTCTATCTGAAAAGCAGCCATCGGAAACAACGACAATGACCACCAAATCTACTTCCGGCTACAGGGCCGAAGTCAAACAATTCCAGCAGCCCCACAAAATCTTCGCCGATATGCAAGTTTCTGAGCAGCAGAGATTGCTAATTTTGTCGACTCTGATGATAGCGACAACATCTATGACTGAGAGAACAGAACATAGATTTTCATTGGAATGATAAACAAACTAGTGAACTGTGATTTGAAATGAGCGACCTTTATAATAGTACTTTGCTATCATTTTTAAGTTGACATTTAGTGTTCTATCAAGTATCTATGTGATGCTTACGTGTGAAACTCTGGGTGTACTCGTCATTGGTGGTTCTCGTCCCGACAAGAACATTAGTATCTCCATCAACAACGGTTGTTTCCCTTCCATTTTCTCGCTGTAGGACTGGTTCCTGTCTTGATCAACAGTCAAGCTCTCAACATTCCCATCCACATCAAACTCTTCCCAGTCATCATATTCATCAAGTTCCTGGAGCATATTGTGAAAGGATGCAACACAGTCGGAACACGTTTCCAATGGTTTCAATGTCCTGAAGTCAAGTGGCGTACTTGAGTACCATGAGCCGCTTCTTGAGAATTCAAAATGCACATTCCAAGTATTTTCTGCACGACTCTACCAAGTTGCTCCATGCCATGGACACTGACGTCCCCTCAGCCTGAAACTTGAATGGGCAAATTAGAATCTTCTATTGGCGCTTTCGTCCTCTTCCATCATAGATTCGGACTAATCTTGCTGAATATCAAAGAGAAAGGCGATTTCCTCTTTATATTCTTTATCATCAAGTGGATCCACTGTTTCCGCTTGCATCGTGTTTTGGTGTTGAAGATGTTGTGCCAAACATCATGTTGAGATGCATCATACTGCGCAGTAAAAAATCATGTAAATGATGTTGAATGGTTTTGATTGGATAAAATGGTGTCGTATTAACTTTCCGATAGACTTTCCAAGATTGGAAAATGTAGCCCTTTTTCCGATCGAATCGGGTTGTCGGAAAGTTTGTTTTTCCGTTTGGGGTGATTTTCCGACACTATGGATTCGAAATTTGCTGTTTGGAACGGAAAAAGGGGCAGTTTTTCCGTTTTCCGTGTCACTATAGTTTCGGCCTAACAAAGTTGTCAATGAAAAACAGCAAACTATCAGATTTCATGTTGACAATCTTATGTCAAGTCTCATGGATCCAAAAGTAAATGATGAATTTGCTGAGTGGTTGAACATGAGATATGGTTTGATCCAGCCATGTAAAATCGTCAGAGGAAAGATACACAGATATCTTGGAATGACTTTGGATTTCTTGGTGAAAGGAAAACTCAAGATCCGCATGGAAGAATATGTCAAGAACATGTTGGAGGATTTTCCTATCAAGTTCAACAAGGATTCAAAGCAGGAAACACCAGCGGGTAAAGATTTACTGGAAGCGGGCAAAGGGAAGTTACTCAGTGCTGAGTACTGTCAGATCTTCCATACTACTGTTGCAAGGGGACTTTATATCTCTAAGAGAGCTTGTTCGGATATACATCCAACAATTACTATTCTTGCCTCAAGAGTTTGAGAACCCAAAGAATCTGATTGGAAGAAGTGTGTTCACATGATGCAATATTTGTTTTGTACATTGTTGTATTGCCTGACACTTTCTGCTGAATCACTACGAGTCATGAAATGGATGATTGACGCATCATATGCGGTGGAAACTCAAGATCCGCATTGACGACTATGTCAAGAACATGTTGGAAGATTTTCCTATCAAGTTCAACAAGGATTCAAAGCAGGAAACACCAGCTGGTAACAATTTACTGGAAGCTGGTAAAGGGAAGTTACTCAGTGCTGAGTACCGTCAAATCTTTCGTACTACTGTTGCAAGGGGACTTTATGTCTCTAAAAGAGCTCGTTTGGATATCCATCCAACAATTAATATTCTTGCCTGGAGAGTTTGAGAACCTACAGAGTCTGATTGGAAGAAGTGTGTTCGCATGATGCGATGATATTTGTTTTGTACATCGTTGTATCACCTGACACTTTCCGCAGAATCACTACGAGTCATGAAATGGATGATTGACGCATCATTTGCGGTGCATCCAGATTTCAAGAGCCATACTGGCGGCACTCTGTCGTTTGCAGGAGGTGCAGCTAAAGTGATGTCGAAGAAGCAAAATCTAAACAGCAGAAGCAGTACGGAAGCGGAACTGATTGCTGTTGACGATGTTGTCACGATGATACTATGGACAAAGTTGTTCATGGAGTGGCAAGGGTATCCGATCGAGAAAAATATCTTGTATCAGAATAATAAAAGCGCGATTCTACTGGAAGAGAATGGTCGCAAGGGCGCGGGCAAAAGAAGCCGAGCTATCAATATTCGTTATTTCTTTATCACAGATCAAGTTGAGAAAGGACACATGAGGTGGTGATAAAAATCACAATTTCCTTGTCCTTTTTACCCAGTGGAACTGTCAATTACGGATAATGGCTGGGACATTAAGGGGAATATATGACAATTTCAAAAAAAAACCAAAACCACAAGGCTACTGTCTCAGATGTGGAAAGTGGCCTCTTGGTCCACGAATAGGTCAGACAAGTATGTATATGTTCAAAATGAAAATACAAAACAAAAATAAGCAGTGAATGAGAGCATGTCCCATTGCTGCCAATGGTGATTGTCACAATGGCAGGTGAGTGTTAGGATATGGCAAAATATGAGTTTTTACGTTCCAAAAAGAAACTATTCAAGTACAAAGTTTTCAACACGTACGATTGGACTTTGATCGTGATGTCGGGATTTGACGCAAGTATGCCGGACGCAAGTCTGTCGGACAATCTACATCCACACAAAAAGGGAATGACCCTATACAAGTGAGATATTGATGTTGTGTACAATGCAGTAGGGAATAATACAAGATGTCCCAAAGTACTGCATCCAACATAGAATTGTTGTAGAGGTCGAATCAAGTTCTGTAAACAAGGAATTTTCCAAGGGAAAATCGTTGAACTTACTTTTGTGATTGAATCATCAATTCAAGCCAAACATTAATCAAATAGGAACAATTTCACTCAAAGCATACCTAGACACAGGAGAACTATTGTTGTGAAAGTGTTGTACAGTCGATTACAAATTTAGATTGCAGAGAGTTTGTTCTGAGCGCTAAAGGCACTCACAATAGAGCACATTTTGCTTTATTCTAACACTCACCAACTTGTCCATCAAATCCAGTTCTACTGGTCAGAATTGGACTGAGATGCCAAGGTCTGTTTCTTGACTTGGGTGTTGAAGAATCGGCACAGTGAAACTCTTCTATCAACCATTAGCCATTACAATCCCTAAAGTCATTGCCTGGAGATAATTTTCCATTTTTTTTCTCTTCGAACTTCATTCTGGTTCCATTATTGCTTTCTATGACATGCAGTAGCTGGTTTTAAGCTTTCTGTTTTGAAAGTGATGATTGATCAGCGATGTGACTGACAATTGGCCAATGTCTTGGGAAAACATTTTTAATTAATATGCCATATTTTTGGCGAGAAAAAGAAGTCCATTTCACTAGACATTTCTATATTTCTTGTCTAAGAAAATTTATTTTACTCTAAATAAAAATGGTATTTATCTATATTTTTTGTTCATTGTTCGCAATGCATTCTCCACCCAAAATGAAGTGTAAACATGCGATATCGTACAAAAGCACTGATGTTTGGCCTGCGTTTTGGGTACAAGAGAAGTCCTATTATTTAAAGTCACCCGGATGGGCATCACAAAAGCTGCAGCAGCACTGGCCTCTGTTTGGGAGAAGGAGATACAGTGGAAGGCTTTGGGAGCAATCCCATGCATACACAAGGAGGACAATTCGTCTTTCTAAGGTTCTGCAGGTATGGGACAAGAGAGCTTTGGTAGCGGCACAAGCAAATATGAAGGAACAATAAGATTTTTTTTGACAAGGATGGCATCCTTTTTGCTTGAAAGGGAAGATAACATCAAGACGTATCACTAACAGCAACAGCACATTACTGCTGTAAATAAAACGATTTTTACTTTTTGCTTGTGTTGTATTCAAATGTCGGCTGGCTTGAATAGGGCAAAAGACACATACATTTTGAATGTTCAGTGGTGATTTCGTTTTGTTGTGTGTTTGCAGCAAGAAAAGTGGGTTGTATTTTGAAGACATGGTTTAGTGGGGAGAAAAACGTGGGGAGTGGAATTTTTGCCGTTGCGTACAAAATTAGCTGTTAACCATTTGTTTTTTGCCAGTATTTTCCAGACAAACTCTCAGGTTGCCGATTGCAAATTAGAATCCGAGTTTTTTCTTGGATTCTATTGCAAAAATAAATAGAATCCAAGAAAACTCGAATTTGTTCGTAAAAGGGTTAAAATCAATTGTGTTGATGTGAAAACATCCAAGCAAACTATTGCTCAATGTATGCCAAACACGCACGTTTAAATCGCTAGTGTTGCTGGCTTCAGTCAGCAAGCCAACCAGTCTCAAGTATGTCTGCCTGGCCTTAAAAGACTTGCACGCTCATGTTGACACACTTGCAACAATCTTTGCCACATAGCGCTTTCCTCTGAAGTCACGCTGCATTTTGCTGGAAAATGGTCTTTTTGGCTTGTTCAAGATTGGCATCAGTGATGATTCTGGAGTTGGGTAGGGCGTTGCAAAAGGTGGTTCTTTCCAAATCACCAATGCGTTGCTCAAGGGATTGAGCCCGGTCTTCTGCAGTCACAATTGCTTGTCCCTTCCAGGCTTTTTTGACAAGTTCAAGGATTTCCAAAAGCTTTTCTGGCTTGGGATTCTTTAAGGGAGGAATCTTCAGGGTGCAGGTTGCGCTCCTATTTTGGTCGTGATTGTGCATGCAGGTGAACTTGTGAAGAAGGTCTTGGTTCTCCTCTTTGTTGGGATATGACTTTTTACGTTCAAAGAGAAAAAACTATTCAAGTAAACAAAGTTTTGACACGCACGATCGGATTTTGATTGTGATGTCAGGAATTCAATATACTAGTGGAATATTTGTGTGGTGTACAATACAGTAGGGAATAACACAAGATGTCCCAAAGTACTGTATTCAACACAGAGGAGTCCTTGTAGAAGTCAGATTGAATTCTGTGGGAAAATCGTTGAACTTACTTTTGTTATTGAATCATCGTTTCAAGCCAAACATTAATCAAATAGGAACAACTTCACCCAAAGTATACCTAACACAGGAGAACTATCATGGTGAAAGTGTTGTACAGTCAATTACAAATTTAGATTGCAGAGAGCTTGTTCTGAATCCAACACAAAATCGAGATGTCGGATACAACTCGTGCTGAACTCAAATCAAAGGAGGAAAACCCTGTTGACGCAGACGACAGGATGGAGACGGAGGAGACCAAGGAGGACAAACCAACAATTGCCAGCTCCTGAACAGCGTACTGCAGTGTCTTCGACAATTCCAGAACAAGCAACTGCA